GATTGGTTGATTTGTTCTCAGCAGGTTACAGACCACGTGAGTTGCTATGGGCTATGGGCAGTTCAAACAGGAACTTAGGCAATACACCTGTTATCTAGATAGACCAAGGGAGGGGTGAGTCTTCAGCTGATTTTGAGACCACTCTGCCCTTTGGCCTATGCAGCAAGCATGTTAACAGAAGCAGAACAAAGAGTTGATTACAAGGTTAGTCATTTGAGTGAAAAATTACTGAAATTTCCTCTTCAATACCACTCTAGGAGTTAAGTCAAAACTGTCCTTGGATAGAAAATTGAGCAAAATAAGCCAAAGATAGGAAAAAAATAAAATAAAAAATACCCTCAATTAGTTCTAGGTGGAATGAGGTAAGGAAAATAACAATTTACCTAGTGCCCATTTTGAAGATCCAAAAATAAATTCACATTTTGATAATATGTTATACATCCTGACCCTTAGGGTATAGTTTCAGTTCTGTTTAATTAAAGAGTAGGTCTTTGAGTTCTATATAATTTTTTAAATTCCATTATTTTATAAGGTGACAGAATATGGTACCCCAAAATATGCCTCTTTTGTATATGATTATTTTGAGAAATAGCAAACAAAGAGAAGCTCTAGAAACAGGAAGAAGTTACACTGGTAAGGTAAATTTAAAGGAAATTTTCATGTGTAAAGGTGTCTCCCTTTCTTTACCTAAGAACATGAGTAAATCACAAGAAACTTATCAGTGAAGGCTAAGACCTAAATCTGCATAACAAAAATTACTTTCTTTACAGTAGTTTTCCTGATTTTAACAGAGTGAAATGTTGGGCCCCTCTGACACTGTCTTGTTCAACCCTTCTTAGTTCTCTTGGCCTTAGGGCTAATAGTTTCTGCTTAGTCTTGTGTATAGACCTGCTATCATTAGAGGGATGGCTTGTGTTTTACAACAGCCCCGCCCATTTCTTCTTCTCTCGACCTAAAAGAAGCCTGAACTCTGTACTTCAAGAAGAGGATATGAGGCACCACTAGGGCTCCCATCTTCTTGGTTGGTGCTTTCTCGATCGATAAAACTTTTCTCATTCCAAACTTTTGAGTTTTGACGTTTTGAGTTTTGGCTTTTCGAAGCTTCAGGCTCACGGACTTTGGACTAGTAACATGATCACCTCCCCATAACTGGTCTACTCAGCACTCCTCTCTTTTGTCTTTATCTAAAGAATGTTTTTAAGCCCGCACTCTAAGCCACCTCTTTGAGTTACTCGTTTTCCTCTGATTATCTCACAGGTATACATGAGGCATACATGTTAATAAGCTTCTATTTGTTTTTCTCTTGTTAAGCTATGTGTTGTTATAGGGTTTCCAGCAGACAACTTAAAAGGTTAGAAGTAAAAATTACTTTGTTCCTTTCCTATAGTTTCATAATAAAGATTTTTAGAGGTCACACTCATACTCGCATTCAGCACTGGCTTTTTTTAAAAAAGCATAATAATAATGTATGCAATAAGCCAGATTCTGTTCTAAGCACTTTACAGACATAAACTCATTTGATTGAAAAGGTAAGTGCTATTTTTAGGCCAATGTTAGGTAGAACTGAAACTCAGAGAAGTTAAGTAACTCGCCCAAGGTCACACAGCTGGTTGGTGATGGAGCTGGGACTTGAATCTAGGCACTCTGGCCACAGAGCTAACTTCTTAAAACTTCGTTTTGCTGTTTCTCATGATATTAGAAGCTAGAAATCATTCCATGTATAATATAAACATCTTTTATAAGGACTCAAGGAAACAAATAGAGGGCAAAGGGCATACAAATTTGGCAACTTATATAGAGTAAACTAATAAATTGTTTAATTTCTTCTGACATTTCATTTTCTTTGAAAATTCTACAACAAAAAGATATATAGTGAGTAACAAGTAAGGAAATTTATTACTAATATTTCCAATATGTAAGTATGATTTTTTTGTTGAGTAAAGTAGGATGCTATGCAAAGCAAAGTGATTTATATTTATCTTCTCCATGTGTAACTAATTTTTACTTTGTTCTTTCCAAATACGTACATAGTTTGAATGACGCTTTTATTTTGACACAAAATGTTATCTGTATTGCTCTAACAATGTTAAATTTATGTGAGTTTAATGCAATGACTCTATAAAATCTTCAGGAACACAAAATGTGCTTTAAGAGAATCTGCAGACCAGCTACTTTCCAATTCTACTGAATAGAAAGTACAAGGGGGAAATCAGAGCGAGTCGTGGCATGATGAGAGAGAGAGAGATGTACCATACATCAAGGCAATGTGAGTATTAAAATATGATGATAGACTACAAGGAATTTGAATTAAACTGGTTGCCTCTTTCCCAAACCAGATAGACTAGAAGGAAAAATGGGGAAGAACATCTTGTTTCCTCTAGTTCTGTAGGACATTTTGGGCCAAATGGTGTGAGTACTCTGCCCTTCTACTGATCTGTCATCTTTGGAATGGATTCTAGTTCATCTTGGTCAGTGACACTGACCAGAGTAGCATAAGTATAAATATTTACATGATGAATCCAAATAAAAGCTAGCTCCCCTTTCTGTCCCCCTATCTGGCCTTTGCTTGAACTTCAAGTCACCTATAACAACGATAAAAACAAAAACAAAACAAAACAAATTTTAATCAACTTATAAAAATTTCTAAACTGAAATACCTGAACATCAAAACTGAATTTCTCATATAAAAATCTATGAATATTTAACAGAAATCCTTAGCTCTTATGTATTTCCAAATACAATTTAGTCAGCTAAGTTCTGGGGGTACTGAAGAGAAAAGGGCCTAATTAGCAGTCATCTAAATTGAAGAAGAAATATAAAGGAAAATCTAAATAATTCTAGAATTGCATTGCCTTCCAGGAACAAATTGAAATAGAATTTTAAAAATAGTCAAATAAGTTATAAATATGATGCTCTGAAATACTTCTTTTTGGTTCAAATTAGAGAACACTGCAGGAAGGCAAATGCATTTACCTGCAATACAAGTTTTATATCTTATACTGCATTTATTTTTCTCATTTTGACCAGCCTTTTGGTACCCAATGAAATCTTGAAATCCAAGACACTGAAAATATATCAGATTAACACTCAAACACAGAGAAACAAAAGACTCACAGTAGATAAACCTTCTGAACAGTCAATCCATCAAAGATTCTAAGATCTGTAAAATTAATATTATGAATGTAAAAACCAGCATTCCTTCTTCCTGACCAATTTCACACTGGTGTTTCCCGCCACAGTCCTTTAATTGACTTGCCTTTAAATTCTTTGTAATGCTGGGAAATATCTTTGTCATTATTCTCCACCTTATACCTCTCTCTCAAGCTTTTGTCCTTCCCTAGGACTACATTCCTCTCTATCCCTCCCTCCTTTCTAATTTTTTACTCTTTATAGAAATTGAGACATATTGACAATCAGTCAAAAACTCTGAACTGAACCTAAACGGAATTATTGAAAAATCAGGCAATAATGGTGATGCAGAAATAAAAAGAAGGTATGTGTGACAGATCCTTTGCTGTGTGTCTGACTAGAGAGTCTCATGTTGCAGTGTGAGCATCATTCAGTTCATAGGAGAGGTAAAATATTTCTTCCAGATACTTCTTAACATATCTGAGGATAAATTTTAAGTCACTCCTCATTTTAAACCATTGAACACGGAATGTATATTTTGAAAATAAGACAGATGTCAGTAGAGCACAACAAAGTGAGTAATAACAATGGTAGGTAGGTTTTCCTGCCTACGCCTTCTTCATTACTCCCACTTTGTGCATTTTATGGACTCTGTAATGTTAAGAATAAGTTACAACACAAAGTCACAAACTCTACAATATTTACCAATGATGAGGAAGGGAGGAGGTTAATAAACATTGTACTTGAGTAGAATCAAAGGAAGGAGGCTATCGTGGTGGCAACAGGGGTAGTGACTCAGAGATTAGGCAAGGAATGGCCAGACTGGGGGTGTTGAATGTTTCCGAAAAGTAGGTCTAGTACCTTCCACAGTCATTTTCTCTAGTAAACGCCAAATAATCCAGTCTTATCCAGTAACTCATTAAGACAACATCCGCTCATCATTATTTATGTAAAATGTAATGTGGGCTAATGTTAAAATCCTCGCACTTACATTTTGTTACAATTTTTCCACCACTTCAGCATTTTACTAAGAGTGCATATGGTCACATTTTGACTTCTCAGCTTCCTCAACTCTCTAAATAGTGGGCTAGACCTTTACTCTTCTATGATGGCCTATAGGACTTTATTTATAAAGTTAGCCTCTAACTGTGTTTGTAAATGATGAGACGGGTTTTAAGAATTTACTTTTAAAAGTTTAAAATGTCATGTGAACGTAAGCTATAATTGTTCAGCAATTCTTCAGCATCAAATTCTTTCCAATGCCACAAGTTTATAAGGTCGAAATTTCTGAATGTTGAGATTGATTAATTAGAAAACTTTTTGTTGTAAAAAATGAAACCTTCATAAAGTAACCAAAGTTTTTAAAAAGTAGGAAAATAGGAAGTGCATGGACAATCAAAAATTGGAAGTGCAATGTAGATGGACAACTTAATCAATGAAACTAGAAAAAAATAAGTATAAGAGTATTTGAGCAGGAATAATACATTTTTCTTTGGTATTTGCTGACCATTTCTCACCCCTCAAGCACAGGAAAATTATGCTTAAATAACAAGTTGTTAGTATTTTATTTTATATATTTTTTTGTTCTACTGATATGACTTCCAGTTCTTAGTGTATGTTATGGCCAAAGGATGATTTATAATTTAACACATTTGACAACAGAAAGTGGTCATGCCACATGCTATTAAATATTGCTACATAGTTCAGTTTGTAGAAACAAAGATGTTTTTCCTCATCATACAGAATACATGAAAATTTTCTATGATTTCATAGAAGAAAAGCCCCCTATTCCCTCTATGAAAATACTACACCTGATCAACTGTCATAGCTGTGTCTAAGAGTCCATTTGAAAATAAACTTGAAAAATGCAAAAAAATATGGAACACTTCATGGATTTGCATGTCATCTTTGCTCAGAGTCCTTGCTGATCTTTCCTGTATCATTCCAATTTTAGTCTATGTGCTGCTGAAGTGGGCACAAGTTTTGTTGTTAGTATTTTATTATAATATGTGCTTTGTACACCAGAGGGAACTATCTGTAGAAATAAATAGGAACCATCTGTCAATATTGGAGATTAAATGCTAACAGGGCAGGAAGGGAGGCCTCAGGAGCCCTGAGATGACAGGACTATCATCTGACTGTTAATGCCCCATGGCAAAACTAGATACAAAGAGTAGAATAAAAGCAGTGGTTAGGCCAACCCAAGAGGGACAGATCCACTTGGAAATTCTATCATACACCTGTAAAGGACCTTCATTCAAATACTTTCTGCAATTAGAATGGTCTCCAACTACAGGGATTATGCCTCTACGTCCTTCTCTTTTTCTCCTTTTTCCTTCCTTCATCCTTCTCATTTATTGTTCAGGCTTAAGGGGAAGGAATAGAAGATGCAAAGAAAACAAAAATTATGTGAGTATTATGACCTCCCTCTTCAATTTTCAATTTACTCGGCACTCACTTCTAAATTAATCTTTCTTCTATACTAGGCAAGATATTAAAAATGAATTTAATATGATAAAAAATCCAACATATCAGGAATTAAAGCTTCTTCACATCTCTCATGAGACTACTTGGAATTCTGCTATATGGTTTGCCATTCCTG